AGGGAATCCCCAGAGGCGCTGCACAGAGCAGGTCCTATGCTGAGGTGGCCGCGGGGGGGTCTCTGCGCTACATCACGGCGCAGAGTCCTCCCGTGGACGCTGCCTCGCCCGCGGGGGGGTGTCTGCGCTCCATTACGGCGCGGACTCTTCCCGTGGACGCTGCCTCACTCGCGGGGGGGTCTCTGCGCTGTTGCACGGCGAGGAGTTCCCCCGCAGATGCCACCTCGCCTCCTGGTGGATCCCCCCGCCCGGTGCGCGGCCCTCCCACATTCGCCCACACTACCACCACCACCAACCCGGCCACAGTGGAGTCAGTTCGGTCTCCGGATCCTCCACCCTGCTCCACAGCCGCTCGTGGCGGCTCCGCTCCGGGCACCCCCCAAGGCTCTCCTGTCCCCTGCTCTCCACCAGGTCCCACCCCAGTCACACCCTCCCCTCCGCGGCCTCTGTTTGCACCAACCACGCTCCTGGTGGGGGATTCTATTATCAGACACTGCAAGTTTTTTAATGCCATCACACACTGTTTTTCTGGAGCCACAGTCCCCACCATCCTCATTAAACTACCCTCACTTATTCAGACAGCACCCTCCACAATAACCCGGATCATAATTCATGTCGGCACAAATGACGCTTCACTCCGCCAATCCGAGACCACAAAACGCCATTTTAAGGATCTTTTTAACCTTTTATCAAACTCAGGGAAAACTGTTTTTATCTCCGGTCCTCTGCCCACTATGAACCGCGGCAGGGAGCGTTTTAGCAGGATTTTATCACTCAACACCTGGCTCAATCAAACATCACTCCATCACAACTTTGGTTTTATAGACAATTTTAATCTGTTCTGGAACCGCTACCCCTTCTTCACACCCGACGGACTTCACATCAACCCACTTGGCAACCGGTACCTGATCTCCAACATCACCCACGCAGTCCAATCCCATCCTACATACCTCTGACAACCCACCCCCACATCCCACATCCCTCCTGCCCGTCTGTGCCCCAGCATCAACCCCTGCTCTCTTCCCCAGCACAAAATTACAGTTTTGTCCAGACCCCGCCCCTACAGACCGTCCATACCCAGGAAACCGTCCTTCACCAACCTCATCACTGTTTCCCCCTGCCCTCTCTCATCCTCTGCTCCCCCCACTTCGAACTATGGACTCCCCATCAACAATAACAACCCATCTACCATCAAGTTTGCCCTTTTAAATGTACGCTCCCTTTTAAATAAGACTTTTACTGTTAATGATTTGATTTTAGAACACGAGCTGGATGGTATGTTTTTAACTGAGACCTGGCTGGGTCCGGATGCTCCGGCTGTTCTTACAGAGGCCTCCCCCCCCAATTTTAACTTTGCTTTTAAAACAAGAGAAGGAAAGAGAGGTGGCGGCACAGCCTCAATATGCAGTAACACCCTGGCCACCAAACCTATTGTTTTTAACCAATACTCAAGTTTTGAGTATCACTCTCTTGTTTTTAGCAACCCCGAAATTTTAACAGTAATTATTTATAGGCCACCTAAAAAGTGCAGCCTTTTTATTATTGAATTCTCAGCGTTTTTATCACAGTTACACAATTCTTACAATATGATAATTTTAACCGGTGATTTTAACATACACATTGACAATCCCTCTGACAATTTTACCCTAGATTTCTTAGATGTTCTTAATTACATGGATTTTACCCAACACGTCAGACAGCCAACACACAACAGGGGACGCACCCTCGACCTGGTCATTACCTATGGCCTGACTGCGGATGTGTCCTCTGTTGTCGACTTGGCTGTCTCGGACCACTACTGTGTGTTTTTTAACATCACTGGTTTTATACAGCGTGAGACCTCTGTGAGAACCGTGAGGAAGCGACGTCTAACCCCTGAAGTGGCTGCAAATTTTATCGACATCCTAAACAACACTCCCCACTTGGTTTTACCTGCCCCCTGTGATTTTATAGCAAATGATTTTAACAGTAGACTTAGTTCTGCGTTGGATCAGGTGGCTCCTTTAAAAACAAAAATCATAAAACAAAATCTGCACCCCCATGGAGAATTGAAGAAGTACGCAAAATGAAACAAGAGTGCAGGGTGGCAGAACGAAGATGGAGGAAAAATAAAACAACAATCAACTACGAAATATATAAAAACAATCAAAAAGCATACAATTACACAATTAGAAATCATAAGAACAAATACTTTGCAAATCTAATCAGCCAGAACAAAAATAATCCAAAAATCCTTTTTTCAACCATCGACACCATTTTAAACCCTGATTTTAGCATGTCTCTTTTAACCCCCACAGACTCCCTCTGTGAGGATTTTGCAGTCCACTTCACGGGGAAGATAAATACAATCAGATGTAACATTTTATCCAACCGCACTACTGTTTTTAACACATCTGATTGTTTGTCTTCGCCAGAGGAAACACTGGACAGTTTTGTCCTGGTTGATGCTGAGATGCTTGATAAAGTTTTCTCCTGAGTGAGGCCCACCACATGTCTTTTAGATCCAGTCCCCACTCCATTTTTTAAGTCATTTTATGAATCTTTTAGAGAGGAGCTTTTAAACCTGATGAATTGCTCTCTTCAGACTGGGGTCTTTCCTGCAGCCTTCAAAGCGGCTGTGGTGAGACCCCTTCTGAAGAAGAGCAATTTAGATTTTAATGATTTTAACAACTACAGACCGGTATCCAACTTACCATTTTTAAGCAAAATTTTAGAAAAACTTGTTTTTACCCAGCTCAATGCCTTTTTAGATCAGCAGCAAATTTTAGAGAAATTTCAATCAGGTTTTAGGGTGAACCACAGCACAGAGACTGCTCTTTTAAAGATTTTAAACGATCTTAGACTAAGTTATGATTTCAAAAAGGTGACTGTGTTGGTTCTACTGGATCTTAGCGCTGCCTTCGACACAGTAGACCACACAATTCTTTTATCACGCCTACAACACCTCGGCCTCTCTGGTGCTGTCCACAAATGGTTCACTTCTTATTTAACAGACAGATCCTTCATGGTAAGTTTGGATACCTGCTCCTCTCAGGTCCATAAAATCACATGTGGTGTGCCCCAGGGTTCCATTTTAGGTCCAGTCCTTTTTAACCTGTACATGCTCCCTCTTGGCGGTGTCGTCAGGAGACATGGAATTAACTTCCACAGTTATGCAGATGATACTCAGCTGTACATCTCCATGTCTCCTGATGACACCAGGCCAATGGATGCTCTTTTTAACTGCATTTTAGACCTGAAATCCTGGATGGCAGAAAACTTTCTCCAGCTTAACCAGGACAAAACTGAGGTTTTAGTCATCGGTCCTGAGGCCCAGAGAGAGAAACTTTTATCAAAACTCCAATCACACTCTTTTAATCCATCATCACAAGTGAAAAATCTGGGCGTAATCTTTGACTCTGAGCTGACTTTTATTCCTCACATCAAGAGTATCACAAAAATAGGTTTTTATCATCTAAAGAACATCGCCAGAGTCCGCCCCATTCTCTCTCGGGGCAACACGGAGACGCTGATGCATGCTTTTTATCACCAGTCGCATTGACTATTGTAATGCCCTGCTCTCTGGTCTTCCCAAAAAGAACATTGCAAGTCTTCAATTACTCCAAAACTCGGCCGCACGTGTCCTGACTAAGACCAGGGGGCGGGACCACATTACACCGGTTTTAAAATCGCTGCATTGGCTCCCCGTGTGTTTCAGAATCGATTTTAAGGTTCTTTTAATGGTTTTTAAATGTCTTAATGGTCTTGGGCCTTCTTATCTTTCAGATTTGCTTTTATCCTATGAACCTTCCCGGCCCCTGCGCTCCTCCGGCAGCAGACTCCTAACCATCCCCAAAGTCAGGACACACACTCACGGCGAGGCATCTTTCCAGCACTACGGCCCCCGTCTCTGGAACAGTCTGAGGAGGAGCTCAGGGCCGCAGAGAACGTTCATATTTTTAAAAGTAGGCTCAAGACGCACCTTTTTAGAGTAGCTTTTGATTAGTTTTTATTATTCCATTCTATTTATCTTTTATTATTTATTATTTATTATATTGCTATTGCTATTATTCATGTATTGTGTGTTCCTTTTAGTCTCACATTTTAGTGTTTTACTTATTGTATTGTTTTTAGTGTACCCAGTGTTTCCTCTGGAGGAGCCCTCTGCACCGGGAGCAGTGGTCGGTGTGGCTGCGGGGGTCGGACTCTTGGGCCTGGTGGGGGCCTGGGGCCTCGGTTTCATGTCTCCTCTGGGTCCTGTGTCGTCCCCTGTGGCTACGGGCGGCTCTCTGCTCCTGGTGCAGACGGCTCCTTGGATGACGCTTTTTCAGCTGGTTGCATCTGAACCCTGCCAAGTCTCTCATCATGTTTTTATTGTTTTACTGGTGTGTGTGTGTGTGTGTGTGTGTGTGTGTGTGTGTGTGTGTGTGTGTGTGTATGAGTGTTCATGAGCGCGTGTGTGTGTGTTTGTCTGTGGTTTGGGGGGGGTCTGTTGGGTGGTCTGGGGGAGGGGTCTTGGGCCGGCGGGATTGTTTTTAACCAATCTGTAAAGCACTTTGTGTTGCATCTTATGTATGAAAAGCGCTTTATAAATAAAATTTGATTGATTGATTGATTGATGTGTACATAGACTTCATACCTTGCAGATAGAGTCCAAGATGGCGACGCCTTCGTACCTGTCCCAAGTTTTGTGTAAGTATTTATCCTACTGGCACGCCCTGCACAGTGTCTTATCACATACAATCGTGAGACACTCTTGAATACAGGAGAACTACATCGCTATCCTGTTGAAGCAGTCAACACCTGGCCCAGTGAAATACTGAGGAGCACACAACAGGAGCGGTACACAGGACAACATTCATTTCTGTGTGAATATTCTGTTATTGTGTGTTCCGAATACTGTACTGAACACCTGCTGTAGGTCCATCAGAATTGTATTGAATTGAATGTATTGAAAACAACACATGAACTAAACTAAAACTAAATGTACAACGTGAAGTGTTAAAAAAATGGAGCCTCACCTGCTGCGATGGAGGCCAGTCTCACGTAGTCAGAGCCCCTCTCCTCTGGTTCGTAGGGATAGTCCTCCACCAGACTCAGACCTACAACACAGACACTAGTCACTCCAGTGGCAGAGGTAAGCCACACACTGCAGCTTTAATTAAAAGCCATTTGAGTTTAATTCATGAGTCCTCAGAGGGCCTGTAATTGGCTTCAAACTGGCACCAGAGAGAAAGCTTTCAGGATTTTGGCGTTTCTGTAATGGAGTTGAACAGATGTGAAGGACTTTCTACATAAAACTTGTTTACTGTTGCCATAACAAGTTGGGCAGCTATAAGAAACAGTACAGGATGACGATGAAATAAAGTTTTGGCTCAATTAAAGCTGCATTTTTTATAAAGCAGTACAGTCGCATTTCTCCAAGACTCCTGCAACTTAGGCAGTGTATGAAAGGAAGCCAAGTCTGTGAGCATTTTAACTGTCTGCTAGTTTTATATACATTGTTTGCAAATGTCTATCTATCTCTATATATATTACTAACAACATCTAATAGACACAATGGGGGGCTGGCTTGCTCCTGGCTGAACCCTGCTGACCCCCCTTGACCATTCCAGTGGAACCTGAGAGTGATCTCACCGGCAGTATATATATAGAGCTAGGACGGACTAGTTAGGGCTCTTGGTCGGTGTCAACTCTCTATTCAGATCATGTGGGGCCCAGAGTCTTCCAGGTCCTCTTTCCCTCAACCCATCGCTCCTTGGGGTATGATATTTTCCGTTATGTCCGTATATATAAATTGTAAATATTCAGTGTCATTAAATATCCCCTTTTATATCTATTTGGTTTGGTCCGCGTATGTACAGCAACAATTACATTTTCCTGATAACAGTCAGTGTGGCTGCAGGATTTCATTCCAACCAAGCAGGAGCACGGCAGACTACCCATTTCCTCTAATATGAGTGCGGTCTTAAAGGTATATAGGAGGATTTTCTACTTCCGACTGGATCATCAAGACAATAACTCCCAATTGTTAATTATTCTGTTGATACATGCTCATCAAATATGACCAGAGAGTTTTGTTCAAAAAGTGGAGAGGGCAGTACTTTCCTAACATTTCTGAAAATCTTCCAACGTATCTTTGACTTGGAGACATGAGGAAATGGGGGGGGGGGGGGTCTGCTCCTACTTGTTTGGAGTGAAATACTGCAACCACACAGACCCTTCCCCTTATTGTTTCATGATGTTGGCCAGTAGATAGGCAGACATAACAATAATATGGTAAAATGGTGAATCTAATTACTATCAAATACAATACAATACAAACCTACAGTATATCATAACAAAACCGTTGAAATCGCCAACACAGATCAGAGAATCAACAGTTAAGACATAAAACATATAACATACCAATTTATGACCAATGTTCATAAATTTTGATAAACGTCCATTTTGTAAAATGTTAAAGGAGCAATATGTAAAAATCTGGCCAAAAGTGGTACTGCAGTCACAGTCAATATTTTGTAGTCCTCTCCAACTCTCCCTGACTCAGGTTGCCAGATTCACACCAAATCCAGCAGCAAACACAGGGAATTATTTTATCAGTTGTTTGTCCGTCTCCATTCACATTGCCATGACAGCCGTGCTAATGCTGAATGAATGTTTTGATTAATGTTTTTTTATTATTATTATTTGGACATTTGAGATAAAAAACAAAAACAAAATAAAAGCAATGTAATTATACATAGTTTATGCAAAATAAATAAGCAATTGATGTCCAAAATAGGAGTGGGAAGAATGGATGTTGGAACGTATTTCTTCAGCGTATCAACATCAGGGTTTGCTCAAGAGGATATCACCTTTCAATTTTATTTATTCCCTATTTTTTAGACAAACATGTAAAAGTCCCACATCAAAAAGAGACTAACATTATTTTAATTGGGGTACATGTGGTCTTAAATGATTATTTTTACAATTAAGCTATAATCTGCTAAAAAAATGTCTTGACCTTCATCTTTTACCGTTTTTAGAGTAATCTGTCATAGAAAGTGATAACATGCAATAAATACAAAAAGACATAGCCCGGGATCGAACCCGGGTTCCTGCGTCGTAAGCGCACACCTTAGACCACTAGACCATCGATTCACACGAATAGAGACACTGTGAAGAACGGACTCAAACTAGAAAGTTTTGATCAGCTGTCTCAATTGTTCAAAGGCATCCCGATATAAATCCTCGTTTTAGTCTTTGTTTTGTCATGAATGATTTGAGAGCCATAACAAGACCTTTTTTAGTTCTGCGCCACATGTTATTTTACCACTGAGATTAATGAGCCGCGCGGAGTTCTGGCAACCGGATCACGGACTTACATGACACTTCCTGATTGGCGAAACGGCGGAGGGTAGGACATCAAAATCAAAACAATAACAACTTTTACGGGTCGTAAAACTAATTTTGATAATCAAATATCTCGGCTGAACTACTGTTATCAGTTAAAGATGTATTCGAAAAGAGTATGATTTAATAACGCCTTTTGAAATATTCGGGTCATTTAATGATGACTTGACATGCAAATATTACATATTGCTCCTTTAAAGTGTCCTGGATCATCACCACAGTCCAATAATGGTAATTTCTTTCCAAAATGTCTTGAGTTGGATTGGCACCTGCCCTACAGCTGTACATTTTTTTGAATAAATATAACCTATTCATAACAAAAATAATAGGCTGGTTGTGCTTAGGTGTCAAAAAGCAGTATATACCTGAACTCACATAAACACATACGTCTTGCACAACAAGCTGTGATCCAGACACTGATTCTTTTGTGTGTCATTAACGTGCGTGTTATTCACAGATTGCAGAGAGCTGGCAGCACTCCGCAGGCACAGGCTGTTTATGCTCTGTTGCCAATGCACACAAGTACTTACGAACTGGTTGAAGCAAAGTACTGCAGCAGCAAAAATTTAGCGCATTTCAATCAATTGTGCTTCATAAAATGTGCTCAATGCAAAGTACAGTATAACTGGTCATAGTTCAGAAGAAGAAGTCTCCATCTTGCTGTTGTATCCTTGAGGCAGATCCCTGTACTGGTCAGCACATCCCAATACCCCGGATACTCTTCTGGTTTTTCAAATCTTAAATGGCCTGGACTAAACACCACTGTCTATTTTTTTTAAAAGCAACATCAGATTGGGTGCCTCTAATCATTTTTTTGTCCCACGGAGAAAAATAAATCAGCTTTCTCAGTGCGTGCCTTCAGTTCTGGAACACGATACCAGTCCATATACGAAAGAGCACCACACTCAGGACTTTTAAACGCACCTTAAAACATGGTTATTGGACAATCAAGCTGGTAATCGTTCATGATTTGAAGTATGCTATAGTGTTTTAGTCTTATATGTTTCAATTACCTGTTTTGGCATTTTACACCTTGCTGGGACTACAGTTGGAAACTATAGCTGAATAGAATACAGAAATGTTGATTAGTGTGTACTGTCCCATTATTCAAATAAGCTAATAAATTAAAAATCATGCTCCTGTTTGGGGGATCATTGTGTGGAGCGCTACCTTTAACCCCATTGCTGTCAGACTGTACAATTGGTCACTTTACCTGCACTACTATTGCCACTGTTTCTTTGATTGCCACTTTTTAATTGCCACTTTTATTGTATATATACATAGTCTGCAGTTAACATGTTTGCACATTTCTTTCTTTTGCACAAATCTTGAGTGATTCTATCCATGCCAGATGTGACATGTAAATTTCTCCTGTGTGAGATCAATAAAGTCTATTTGATCTTATCTAATCTTATTTGGGCTTTATAATATCAAGCCCCAGTCTCATATTAGAACACATTATATTAAATAGAGTGACAGAGGCCTCACTCTCAGAACAAAGCCAGGCCTGCCCTCTGTACTTACCCTCTGCTCAATGGGACTTAGCTCTCTGCTTTCGGGAATCATTAGCTGAACTGCTGCATCATTTGAATGCATTAACAGTAAAAGAAATGCATAGTGCTTTGGTCTTTACCTGAGAAAATGACGGATCAAAAATTAAGGAAACAGTTCTTGCTTGGGAAAACTTAATAAGCTATTATAAAAATAATAATATTAATGGCTTGCACTTGCATTATTAGTGTGTTACAGGCTTGTTGAAGTATCTCAAACCACTACACTCAAGTCAGTTTCTACCATTGCTTCAATCATGGTGGTGATGAGGTGGGGAGCCAGTCTGAGCCATCGGCCCCTCTCTCTGACCACCACCATCATTCACTCACTCACAACATTCAGACTGTTGCATGTTTTTGGTGGTGACTGGGAAACCGGACCCACGCAGACACGGGAGAAACATGCAAACAACATACAGAAAGGTCGGGATGTGACCTGCATCTCAAAAGCAATGTAAAGAATAAGTTGTAAACAGTCTGTCCATGATTTTCTCACCGTGCAGCACGAGTCCAGACTGGTGCAGGCTCCAGTAGATGCTCAGGCAGTTCTTCTCCTTCTTCATGCCCCGTTTGCACTGACAGCCATGGAGGGGCGTGGCCAGTAGAGCCGTCATGGCGTTCTCACACTGGCTCCTGGCCCCGGGGCCCAGTTTAACGCTGCCGTCTCCAGCCACACATTGTCGGAGGGTGCGGAGGCGAGGGCTGCAGTTGTCGTCACTGGAGCAGGTGTCCCCTGCACGAAGACAGTCCCACCCGGAGGAGCCCAGTGCCACACCAGGACCCCCTGTGGAGCACAGACACACGAGGCGTGGTTACATTTACCGTAAGAACATCAATTACGTCATTCACCACCAAAGAGCAACGAAACAACAAGGCAGTAGTTCGACCAGTTTAGTCAAACTTGTAACCGCAGCTACATGTCAGGAGTAGTAGAAATCTGGATACTAGACCAATCTTTAAGATTATTCAAACATTCCTGAGAATCAACTTGTTTTTTAATGATGATTCTCAGAGATTTTCAAAATGATCCTTATTAAAACATGGATACCATCCTTGATCATCCCAGTAGAAAAAGGTTGAACTTGCACCTGTAGTCAATAGATTTCCGAGTACAGCCTGAAGGCAAACTTAAACAGAGACTTATTTGAGGAGATGGTCACATTCATTTTTAAACACTACAAGGAGCTCAGGTGGTTTGTGTGTTTTAATGCTTTAGATCTTCCTCAAAACAGCAGCCGCTACATCCTCTTGACACCTTCAAAGACAGTAAACTACCCTCTACATTATGCATGTGAAAACAAGTTTTAAATCTATTTATCTACTTCAAACCAATACGTTTTTTTCTTCAATATTCAACAAATGTTGTACAGAATCTAAGCATCAAAACAGCAGTAAAGAGTTTTGACTGGAAGTACGTGAAAATGTCCTTCAACAGTTTCTCTTTTCTTTCCTTTTCTGCATCAAATATAGTTAAAAACAAGATATGCGCGTTGTAAACAACTAATCAGTTACTCAAAGGAATAATTGCTAGATCAAAATAATCATAAGCTACAGCTCTAAAAAGACAAATTAAATGTAAATGGTTTGACATTTAAGTGACGTGGAAACAGCTTTGTCTAACAAGAGCGAAAAGAGCTAATTTATGGACAAAACATTTCATCCATACAATATAACAGCATTTTATGAGACCAAACAATTAAAGCATCAAAAATCATGTCGAAACAAAATCAGCATCAAATACAATCCATCCCATGATGAGATGATGCGTGGGTCTTAATAAGGAAAAGATATTTGCACATCGCTTGTCAGAAATAATCAGACACAGACAAAATTGTGTTGTGTGCAAAAATGCTGCAATGTTTTTGGGATTACTCAGAAAAGACCACGGGGGGTGCTGTATTATTCATGAATCCATCCAGATGCCACATACAATACATCTGACACCAGCCTCTGTCACATATTCAGTACAAAAACTGTTATTGGGGACATGGCATTCACTGTTGTCACTACTTTGTATTCTGCACTAATCACACACAAGTTTTCTTCCCCCAAAGGGCAGAAGCAGCGAGCGAGTGAGCTCCAAACAAAATGCACTTATAAATGATGGATGCGCAAACATTTTTCAGTTCAAAAATCTATTTTGGGAACTCTGCTGACCGTGTAAGTAGAAAAAAAAATGCCAATACCGAAACAGAATGAAAACCAAACGTTTTGTAAAGTTTGTGCTCAGCATGTGACCAGACTGAAATAAAATGTCTTCTCTTCTAAACATAGCTCTTGGATTTTTGATACTTGCCAACTTTCTCTCCAGTTACATACATCCCTTGGTTTTCAAAATGTTCACACAAAGCACCAAACACAATCAATACAGAACAACCTATCAAATGGGAATACGCAACAAAGTTCATAAATAAGTACGTATAATAAAACCACCCAGCCCCTATTCTTCACTATCTCTCTATACATACGTTCATATAATGACACACACACACACACACACACACACACACACACACACACACACACACACACACACACACACACACACACACACACACACACACACACACACACACACACACACACACACACACACACACACACACACACACACACACACACACACACACACACACACACAAAAAACACAGACACTCATCACACATGGGAACAGATTTATAGATAGAGATTAAAAAATGCAAGATACCCCCCCCACCCCCCGCTAATGAATAAATACATAGATAAATAAATAACAAAGCGAACTCTGCGCTGACAGCTTTAACCCTTCAATCACAGCAGGTAGATTTCAGTGAAGGCTTTTCCTTCAGATTTGACTAAAATGAGGAGAAACGTTTCACATGGACTTATTCTTCAAACAGAGATTTGAATAACTCTGCGGAGGATATGTATATATACTCTTCATGACACATGCGGCAGCGGAGGAGCGATGGTCCTGTAGTAAACAATATATATCACCTCAGAACAGTGCGCAGACTGACCTCAGAGCAAGTGCTGCATGAGACGTAAACACAGACAGGTCTACGGCAGCTTCAAACGTATCCATCTGGGTCCAGGTTTGGAAAACATTTGTTTAAAGTAAATGCGGATTCACCAGCTTCCTGTGGCTGAGAGCTGAATTTGACTAAATACTTTTGCTGATACGACTGCAACCGTTTCTGTCTGCAGGGGGCCTATGGCAAATGCATTGATGCTATGTATATATTTACTTTTACATTAGGACACATGTGTCAAAGTCAAGGCCATGAATTTTACATGGCCCGTTGCCTGCCATTGACGCACTATTATGTCAATTGCGTAATATTTTCATGTTCCCAGATGTCTATTATATCTAATATGTTTGGGGATAAGCTTGAGAGCATATTGAATCGAGCCAGCAGGTGGCAGCAGCGCTCTCTGAATGGTTTGAAAACAGCTAGATGCACTTGTTGTGCCTCTTTTTCTCAGCTTTTTGGTGATTTCAGTAAAACTTCCCTCTACTCAACTGGGAATTACAAGCTAGAAACAACATTCTTTTTGCTGATGAAAGTAGACAGTCTATTCTTTCAGAATCTGGTTTCGGATTTCAGATAGTCATAGTACACAATATTCTGTGGGTCTTGAAAAATCTATAAAAATCATCAGAAACTGCTGGCAATATGGGAGTACCTGTTCTGAAATAGGCTGGCAGGCAATGAGTTAATAAACATTGAACCAGTCCGGCCCTCGGCTCGCAGCCAATTTGTTTTTTTGGCCCTCTGATGTATTTGACTTTGACATGCCTGCATTAGGAGGTCAATGTTATTTGACAAACAGAATATTTTGAGCCTGGTCCAGATATGTATTAAAAGAAGACTGATTGAAAGTACTGAATAATGTGTGCAAAACCTTATATTGACATGCATTTTCAGTCACTTGAAGAAATGACTAATAATTTGGTTTTCATACTAAATAAACTCGACATCCAGAACATACTGTACTTCATTGGTTGAACTAACAGCTTGAGACACTGATGAATCGACCTAATCAAATTGTATCTTAATAGAACCCAAATGTGACGTTATTTCGGGTAAATTGAACATTGGGACAAAGAGACACCTGGAGATTAGTGAATAAGTATGGCTGTAATTAGCTGTCTGTAGCTTGACAGATTTCTATAAATTTATGCCAAATCCAATTTCTGAAAAAGCCTTGAAAGACATTTTTTGCAGAATAGTTAGTTTTGAGATTAAATGTATCAAATTTTATGTCAGCAGTTTAATTTAATAACATCTTAATCGACTGGTAAAAGGCAAAAACCTCTACCTAAGTCCCTGGCTCAATGGCACATACACACATGCACACACACACACATACACACATGCACGCACACACACACACGCACACACACACACACACACACACAAGCAAGCGCCAGACCATATCTTTCTTATCTTTTAAATGAAAAAGCTATTTTCTGACAATCTAACTACACTGAAAACTAACCTTGAGCTACTTCCTGTGTATTTAACCACCTACATGTGAACACCTGATCCTGTCAGATGTCAGAAGCTAAGCAGGGCAGGGCCTGGTCAATGGGAGACCTCTGGGAACACCAAAGGCCACAAGTGCATATTCAATTATTTATACTCACAAACATATAAAAAGTAACCCCCTGAACTTAAATCAACTCATGGCCTCATTCCTGTTTGGGCTGAAGGCCTATGTTGTATTTCCAAGACGTTGCCAAGTAACAGTCATGCAGAATAAAGTCAGATCTGAGACTGAGATCTTGTAATATTTTAGCAGATTTTGACACCAAATCAGTGTTAATCCTCCAAAGACTTAAAAATCTGCTTGCCAAACGGATGAACATTTAAATACTGACATTAAAATAAGATTTGTTTTAGGAAGAAGGAACAAAAGCAGGAAGACGTTGCAGGGTTGAGATAATGTCACTCATTTTGAATGCAAATAAGCTCTCAGGCTCTCCACTTTCTTGGATGACGCGTGTCATCCAACACACATTTTCCAAGAAAATCTTTTTGAATATCGATGGGGCTCAACATCCATGACACAAACTGGCCCTGTGGCAGTTCCCTCCGCTCTAAACACATCCATAAACACTCTTCTTCTTACATAAAAGCCTAGATCAGGTGGCGGTGGCGTAGGAGGCCGGCAAAACCAAAACATCAAGCTCGTCTGACTTCAAGGCAAGAGAGAGATTGAGTTTGCGTCAAAAGCGTGCCATTCAAAATCCCATTCTATCGAAACGAATCCATTGCATATAGAGGGGGGTTTTGATATTTGTCTCATGAAATTAAGATAGAGAGAGATAAGCGTGTGCCGGCAAACACAGCCGAGGCGCACACCGGCAGTTCAAAGACAGACAGTCAAAACCAATTAGAGGGAATCAGTGGGCTTGTCATTCAGATTGGTTCCATCCCGTACGCCCAAATGTTTAGCCCACTGAGGTAAATAATCTCCGAGCTGCCACTGGTTCTTGTTTGCAGTCGTCTACTCCTTCTGTCCCCTCAACCTGCACCAGATAAAAGAATGGTCTAATGAAGTGTACAAATCTGTTTGAAGTAGAAAGACTTTTCATTCGGAGGAGTTAATGTGATGGTCGAGACATGACATTTACAACAGCTCTATAACAAGATTATGATGATGTCTTGTATAGAAGCTGTCTAGGCATCAGTTATAATAGATCGTGGTTCAATAATCTGTGCTTTGTTTAAGGTGCAAATAAACAAGTGAAGTAAGAAACACTCTCACACTTTTATAAACTTTCAACTTTCAAACCACGAAAGTTGGACTAGTTCCTCGCTCTCAAAACAGTCATGTTTTGGCCTTTATCGCATCTTTCAAGCAGTTTCTTTCGGACAGAAATGTGAAAAAGTTAGGACCACCCACTCATCAACTCAGCTCTCAGCCCAAAGTGCCAAATAGGGCTCTTTCTTACAAGTATGCATGTTTTATTACAAGATTTGTTTACTACGAAATTCACTTTAATGAGACTCATTGGTTGGAAATATGGGTATATATGCGGGGGTTGCATATTTTGTACCAATAATTTCACTAAAGTATTTTAATGAGAAGACATGTAGGTGACTGTTTCTAAGTGAAAACAAAACCAGGAATTTACTCATAGTGTTCAGGATTTTTACTCTATAGAATGTCTGAGGTGAAGCCTTGACTATTCTGCTCGTGCTCCGCTGCAGAAGAGGTGAATGGTAATTTGAGTCGCCTGTACTTTGTGGGGAAAAGCCTTGACCAAATCTAGTGCCAAACTCTAAATGAGTTGAATGTTGCTGAAGTTGAGTAAAGGTGTGTTTGTGTGAGAGTGCTCTGCTCATGCTCCTCACGTCCCTCTGTCCCACCTCAAGACCCAACGCTAGCGGCATTCGTCACTGCCAGCTCCACTTAGCCCACAGCACCCAGGCAGAGAGAGGAAGAGGAGGGGAGAGAGATAAAGAGAAGCAGAGGAGAAACATAGGGGAAGACTGTTCGGAATTCACTAAGTACATATAGGCAAATGCAAATACATGTGAAGATGTGGAATTTATGTTCTAGAATTATGGTTCAACTCGTCGTGGAGGAAAAACAGGTGGCTGTTTTTCTGCAAAGGACCAGGACGATTGATCCGTGTGAAGGAAAGAATAATTGGAGCCATGTATTGTAAGATTATGTGTGAGAACGCCCTTTCATCAGCAAGGACATTGAAGACGCATCCCTGCTCTAGAAGAGATCTGCATAGAAGAATGGGCCAAAATACCAGGAACAGTGTGAAAACCCTGTAAAGACTTACATAAATGTTTGACCTCTGTCATTGCCAATAAAGGGTACAGTATACACACAATGTAATAATAGGGACTTTCCACCATAATTTGTAATTAATTTCTCGTGTTTTTTCAAGATTTTTTGTCTCATGTTGTCTATCATCAGTGACGGGCAGGTGCTCTGAAATCGGGTGTCAGCTGACCCAGAAATGGACAAAGAGGGCGAAGAGGAATGAAAGAATGTGGCCTACAAATTAAAGGCATCTTTCATCTTTTAAAGTAGTGGGAGGATTTGAACAATTGTTAGTGGACTAAATACTTTGCTCCACTGTGCCTCGCCTTGCACTAGACGACAAACGATCCATCCATCCATTTTCTACCCCTTAATCCATTTCTGGGTCGGGGGGTGGCCAGGGATGCCACCCAGTACACAGAAAAAGAACAGGGAGACATATATAGAAGGTAAAAAGTAGTAGAAGGAGCGTCATTAAACAGCAGTCTTGCAGTGAAAGTGCTGCTGCCTTCGACCAAGTCTGAGGGAGCTTTAATTCTCCATAAGTCACATTCACAGCCCAGGGAGCGCTCCATAAAATGAATGATGGCGGAAATGATTGCTGGACCAATAATATTGATGGAAACATGAAGTATGTGTCAACGCGCTGCGAGCTTGACTCAACTTTTCCTGATACAAGTCGATGCGCCACAAAGACTGAACAACGGCTGTTTTGTTTGCCATTTATATTCACCAAAGTTCATCATCTGTTCACAACCGGTCGACACTGGGGTTTGAGTCCTTCTGCTCACTGTCAGGTTGATAGATGCCCCGAGTTATTTTCCAACTTTCCACATGTAGTTTTACAGATTTGGTGCCACGCTCGAAAACTGAGATGAACTAACGATGGGGTTTGTTCAAAGGATCTGTTTGTGCTTTTCTGAAAGAACTGCTCTTAATCGATTCAACTTGTCCAAGGTTACAGTTGTTCAAACTAAACTGCTAATTAGAATCATTATTTTCCTCTCATCATTCTGAAAAAGCAGATTCTCAAAGCCTTTGTCATAGATTTGAATTATTTGCCTTCATTATTACATACATAATTGAATGCCATTGAACAAGAAAAATCAGATTGTTTTTGAAGATTGCAGAAAGTGTAGATGTGTTTTATTTTTATTTTTAAGATCTATAATTTCACGGCAACCTCTAAGATATGTAATGAGTGATAAATATGATTCATATTGATACAATGAAGAATTCTTCCAGCTTTGAGTGACCTTTGTCTGTGAAAATCCGTATATTCAGGGGTGCACATAAGTGGTACCCAGGTACGCATGTGCGACAAATATCAGAAAATTGTTAAAAAATTCACAAATAGGTTAAAAAAAGCAACCCTAGCTGCCAGCTCCTTATGCAAAGACATAGCTAAAGACTATTATTGATGCTGTTCTTACTCATGCATAATGTTGTGTTTTCCTTGTCATCCGAGCTGCATGGCTGATTTATCATGAAAGACAATCCTATTACTGATAGCGATAAGAAGCGCCTGCGTTGTTGAGTAGATCTTTGACGATGCTTTCCAGGGACCGTGCTTTTCTCGAAGAACAATGCCATCTCTAGTTAGCTAAACGTGGTCTCGGAAACACTTTTAAACCCGACATTCCACTGTGTCCACCGGGAACCCTCTTCACAGCCAACAATAAAGGCGCCTTGCATCTAGCTACAGAAAACCAATACTCTTTGAATGAGTTCATGCAACACGTTTGGAGGGATAAAGAGATATGCAAATGTGGAGTGAGAAAAATGTGAATACAAACATGTGTATAAGGAAAAAAGAAGACAGGACTTGACTTGGAAAGGCTTTAGACAGAATTTAGTGGCAAGCAAGATCTCTTTGGACAATAATTGGTCCTTCAAATTGTGCGGTAATGGGCTGCTTTTGGTCTCGTATCATCGATTCAGAAAAACATGATGAAATTTAGACGAGGAGAGAGAGAAGCCGGAGCACTGCGGACGTGTTGGAGGATGCTAATTTCCCAGTTGGATTCCTAAGTGACTAATCCATCGCACAGAAAATCAATAACCAGCCACCGATTCACAATGGGCGCAAAATGCAGTTTGACCATTTCTCTTTGCCTAGTTGAGACTGCGATGGAGAAGCCTGACTATTTAAGTAAGAATGAAGGTACAGGCCTCGAAGCGGAAAACTGAATTGCATTTATTTACCAGTGA